CGGCAGATGATACACACTTAGTACACAGATTCTTCGTCCAGATTCTTGTGCAATTATCTAAACTTCGTTTTTTTATGTCAGTGGTTCATGTGCTTTTACTTCCTGTGTTTATCCTTAAGATCTGCCACCTCCTCCCATCCCTCCTCCAGCAGTGCTCAAGTCCCCCACACATCCCTCCAAGGCAGCACTGGAGGGCCGGGGGGTGATTTCCCCCAAAGCAGGCGAGGGTCGAGACAAGAGAGGAGCAACAGGAGGCTACAGGCCCCGAGAGGGTTCGGACCCCAGAACCAGCTCATCTGAACGCAAGGACGCTCAGGAGAGACAAAAGACTGCTCATGGAGAGAAAGGGAATAGACACGAGAGTAGCACTGCCAACAAGGCACGTCAACATGCAGGTACGACAGCATGTGAAGGAATCCTTCAGTAACCTGTGCACGACCTGTGATCATACAGGTCTCAATTCCCTCTAAAACTCTCTTCCGTCCCCAGGTTCAGAGGACATTCTGCCCTATAGCAGACCACAGTTCCCCATGGTCAACAGCCCCCGAGACCCGAGCTCCTCCAGCTCCATGTCCTCTCGGGGTTCAGGGGGCCGGCGAAGAGGAGAAGGAGGCCGCAGGAACCCAGCAGACATGGGCCTCATCACCACGGGGGCCTTACAACCAGGAGATGAAGAGCTAGAGGTACAAATATCACCTAATCTGACTATTGCTCAATATTGATTATTATCCTTTCTTTTTTTTGTTTACTTTTTTATAATCCGGTGACATACAAAAATATTGGTAGATTTTTCAGTCTCTAATTTTGACAGATGGATGCTGAGCAAAATGTTTGTTTATGTGTTTTTCCCCCAGATGGTAGAAAGCTGAAGATCCGCAGAGACAAAGGAGGAACTGTCCTGATTTTTCCAAGAGTGGAGCACTATTGTTTCTCTTACAATTTTAAATATCTCAGTATTTCACCGTCATGTTTGCTGCCATCATACTGTACATCAGTAGTGTTTCTTTACATCTGGAAATCAGACCTTTTTCTAACTATTCATTTTCTATGTCCATTTGACAAAAAAAGGCGAGCGTGTGTGAAGATAAAAGAACGGTGCATTCAAAACAAAAATACGCAGTAGTATATTTATGTTTAATTCCAATGCAATATGGAGTGAAATCTGACTCCAGATATAAACATGGCTCGGCTTGACAAGAACTTTGCAGAGCCCATACAGTCACATGTTACTGTAATGAAATAGCTGCAAGCAGTGGTGGACTGTAAATATACATGTAAACATGATGTCTTTGTTTTACCCACTGTGGTACCTCTAATTTGTCTTCCTTTGTTTTATTTTGAAAATTCTAATTTTATTATGCCAGTAAATATAAATATTATTTTATCATTTCCATTCATGTTGTAAATTGCAATATTATTTAGCTGCCCCAAGAAAGTGCCACTTTGGGTTTTTTTCTCTCTTTTCTTTTGGTTTTTTTGTAATGCACTGTTATGTTTCGTGTTGTCGTCAATGTTTGTCATTTGTTTTACTTTGGTTTTAAAAGCACAATCACTAAACTTTATTTTAAACCATTCTATCTATTAACCTTTTTGTCTTACTGGAGGAAAACAGGTATGACAAAAGAGTCTAGTTAATCCTGATGATGGTGATGATAATGATGTAGGTAAAGGTTGCTGTTTACGAAGGCTGTACTTGAAAGGAGACTCCTTTCATTTTGATTGTCTCCCTCTCCAGTTCTGACGCTAGCTCCAGTGAAAAAAACAGACAGTTAATGTGAGTCATAGCTGCAATGTAAATATCTTTTCGCATTGACCATAAATTCAGCTATTGCACATTAATCGAAATGGTTACATTGTCTACTAATGCACTTAAATGAATTTCAAATACAGGAAATAAGAGTCACTTTGGGAATCTGGAGAGGTCGTTATTGGACAAGAAGGGTCTCTTTTCTCAAAAAGACAGGGGCAGTCACCACCCTGTTTTTCAGAAGAAAGGTGCTGTTGTTTATTCATAGAACATCTGCAAACATTTGTTTCGTAAAGCAAAAAAGGAAAAAGAACTAAAAAAAATGATGAATAAAAAGTTCAAACTATTCACGTTTCTCTGTTCATTTGTCCATATTTGTATAAAGAATATACAATATTCTTCTGGATTTCAAACTTCAATAAATTCCAAACTAAAAAGCATAAATGTAATTTAATATTTGATGCTTTCCCTGCCCTGTCTGTTATTCATTTTTACTAAAGACACACATCTTTTTAAAAAAACGCTAACAAACATAAAGTTTCAATTTTGACAAAGTACTTTTCTTAAAAGCTGGACGCTAGAAAGATAGATGAATGGATGGATAGATCTGACTGGTTTGTCAAGGTTCTGTAACAGTGCTAGACCAGGTGTTACTAGATGTTACTAGCATAAATTAATTACACGATCCTGTGATATCTCAAATATCCTTATTAAACGTCAGTAATCAACAATCTAGTTTATGTTGATATTACATATATTGACAATATATAGACATTTTATTAAACTACTGCATCCTCGTTTGTCCTATTATCTCAGATTTTGATCAACTTATCTATTAATTCAGTGTTAAATCTAAATTGTAGAGCACATACCACCACCCAGGCCCAACAGACCCAAGTTCAATCAAGCTGCAATAAATTTCACACACTCATCATTTTACTAAATACGACAGATTTCTTTCATCAAGATACATAAATTATTCCCTTTGGGTAAAAACAAAAGAGTAAGTCTTTTTTGGCCCATGTCCTATCCTCCACTAAGTTTTGTAGAAATCTGTTCAGTATTTTTGCGTAGTGACCAACCAATAAACACATCATCCCCTTAGTGGAGATAAAAAAAAAGCTTCCATTTGTAATTATTCAGATGTGTTATTACCACATGTGAAAAGTACACGACACTAAAATTTGCAGAGATAAAATACATTATTAAAAGTGATAAATTAATTTTACTGACATATTTATTACAGCTATAATTGAAAAGCATCATAATAAAGTTCAATGTCATTGTCTATTGCATTTTAATGTGAAATAATCTGAGCTGGCCTCACCCCAAAAGGACACGATGTACTTCAACGGCACCTTCAAGGAGGGAACTATCAATATCCTTGGCTCAGACTCTAAACAGCTATTTCTGTTCTGTACAGTAGCTATTCAGATATATTACCTATTGCCAATTCCATTAGTGTTCTCAATTATTCACAGTATCAGCATCCCATGTCATTCAGCTAAGGCATTCGGAGCCACAGAGGGAAGCTAAAACCAATGGTGATGGGATTATATTCAATTTGACAGGCCTAGATTGCTGCCAATTAGGCGTAAAGAGGCTTCAATGAGGTTACGTAAGAGAACGAATACAGTGTTCATCTTATTTCCCATCAGTCACTATAGCCCCTGAGATAAGCTGCTGACGCGGCAAAACAAAATCTCCACGAAATCAGAAGATGACATTATTGCCGCCGAGCGACTCCAGAAGGCGACTTATCCTAATTGGAGAGAGAAATACATTTGTTCCAGTTTATTACATCTAACCTGCCAACTGCTTGTCCTCACAGAGGCAATAACCCGGCCAATGGGAGTCTTTAATGTCGACCGCTGTCCGTCCGGCTTATTCAAACATCGGTGATGAAGAAAGAGAGGTGGTTCCTCCTGTTCACGCTCCCTCCTGAGCCTCGCAGAACTGGAATGGAAGTCTTGTTTTTACAAGTTAATGAAGAGTGCTGCCCAACTCGAACGAGGTGGAGCCTCGAGAGAGCGACCGCTCCGAGTCGTCTGCTGAAAGCATCAGCGCGACAAGAGAGTCCACGTGCTCTACATTCACTTCTGCCACAATTTGAAAAGAGACCATTTAAAGACACATAATGTGTTTTGAAGATAAAAATACAGGAATTTACACATGTAATTGGAAACAGCATTTTTAGCAGTGAATTCGTGTCATCAAAGAATCTTGATCATACAAAAAAATGTCTGACGTTTGGTGTTGACAGAGACAAATGAGAAGCAGATCGGTGTAATTCAGTAATGTTTTAGTGATGACAACTGTGGTCTCTGATTCCCCCCTCCTCCTCCTCCTCCTCCTCAGCTCTCTCAGCATTTCAGGCTCCCTCCCCCCTTTCCTTCCCCCAGGTGTTCTCTAATAAGCACCTTTCTAAACAAGAACAAATTTGGAACAGGGGAGAGCATCCCTCTTATGCCTTCATCCATCATTTTAATGAGTGGAGGTGTGTCCAGGCCCCACAATGAGATGCAGGTGATTAAGGATATTAAGCGGATCCACTGGCTGCTCCACAAACCCATGAATATGCAGGATGAGGCTGCAGGGTCTTTAGTCTGGTCCTTACAGTTACTCTACCTGTGTGTGTAGTGGCATGTGTACAGGATTAAAACTGGGGGAAGTAGAATAACAGAGAGTATGTGAGTTAAAAAATGGGTTGATTAGCAACTGTTATAGTTGCGTTTTAGTACTGATGAATACACATTTTTCTATGTGATTGAATCTAAAGTAAAACTGTGTAAATATAGTGAGAGAATTCCTTTGTTGGGGACCAAGCAGAAAGGGCAAATGTGTAAAAAGTAATTCATCATTTTTAATGAAATCCTTTTTTTTTTATCAAATGACAAATAACTAAATACCTATATATTTTAGAAAAGTAGAAAAAAATTCAGGGCCCAAATTTTAAGAGGTCAACTAAGTAGGCAAGGCAACAGCATCAACTTCCATTTACAATTAACAAACAGGGAGAAGATATAAACAGGTGGACTAGTCCAGACAGGCACACAGGGGAAACCTAATCAAACATACAATTTTAAATACCGAAATAAATTAGAAACATACAAATAGAAACAATTGAAATAATGATGTACACAAAACAAATAGGATTGACTTAAAGCAAATAATAGCAAAGTCAAACAAAGAAGTTTGAACCCATTCTAAATCTAACCTCCCCCCTCTTCAATCTGCCGTTGGCCTCCTCCACTTCCTGTGGGGCTGGTCTTAAACACCACTTCCTGCAGGTTTCAGGCCTTTTGCCAGATGAGCTCTGTACAAACAAATGGTGAGTGTGACTGCAGAAAGTTTGCTAAATTGTGTGCACCCACCTGATGTACTGTGAACAAAGGACTACGTGTAATGTTTTTCACTGGGATGAAATGTAAAGTGTGACAAATTATACTAACACTGAGTGCAACCACCACAACCCTTTAAAAGCTCATTTTCTTATAATCATAAACAACAACAGCAGCAAGTAGTGTTGTTTTTTTCTTTTCTCAATTCATTCTGATTGAAGATTGAGGATCAGCTGTTTGCGTTGATGTGATTAATACAGTGTGGTGTTTACACGTGCTGACACGTTTAATCAGAACAGCAGCTGTGTGTCACCATCAAAAGTGATGAACATGTCATACATTCGTCTTCTTTAATGGCGATCTCATCTCTCATCTGTATCCCATCTCTGTGGCACATGTTTGATCAGCTCCCAGAAGACGGATCTATTGTCTGTTCAGCACAGTCGTTAGCATCCAGTGCTTATTATCTGGTACTCTTCAGTTCTAGTATGTACTAAAAACAAACTACGGGCAGAGAACCAATTCATCTTTGAAAAGGAGGAATGCCTGTTGATTCATTTGAATATTTATGGGTGCACAAATACTAAGTGAGTTAAATCCAAGCCAATTTCAGGAAGGATTTTTAAATGGGGAAAAAACGTCCAAATATGTAATTTTTTAGAAACAGATGAGTTTTTAGGGGTTTAATCAGGAGAGGGACTTCTCGCTCTGCAGCTGATCCGTCTGCTTCAATCTTTTAGAGCCTGTTTATTCTAACTGAGGTGTTGAAGCATTTAAAATTGAATTTGGTCTTTTATGATCAGAATGTTAGGCTCCATGTAAAGATGCCTAATGTCCCAAACTTCCAGCTTAATCAACAGAAATACAGGTGGAAGGAAATTATGCTTTAAGGCTAAAATAATCTTTACAACCCAAAAAGATCACACAGTCTCTTCTAGTCCACTGATTGCACTGCTGCGGCTAAAGAAACAATACAATAAAAAACCACCTGCACAAATCAAGTCCTCTGTTTCTGCCTTCATTGAAGTTTCAATTGAAAGAAGAAAATGAGTAATTTGTCAGAAGGAAGTACATTCACAGACATTAATGTACCAACGTCAGTAAAAGACCTAATTACTCTGCACAGGGAGGAATATGCTGCACATGTACAAATCTGTAGAGCACACAAACCTCTCCACCTCCATCAGCTTCCTCTTTCTTTATGTCTTCAGTGTTTCAGTTTATGCAATCAATGATTTCAACCGCTGCCGCTTTCAACTCTGTCCCAGCAGCCAGAAACTAATTTCTTTTGTGCACATTCAGGCTGTCTCTCATTTCTGATCGCCAATCTGCTTCATTAACCTCTTTCCAAAACTAGGGGGTAATTAAGGGAACAGCTGTGTACTGTCTGACGACTCGTCTTGCCGCCGCCACACTTCACGAGAACGCCGGCGAGGAAGCCGTCATCACAGGTGCACGGTGTGTGGACGTCTCACCACACCCTCTCCACAGCCATTTACACTACAGCTGCAGGTCAGACGCCACCTCTTCACACGATCAATCAAAATTCATTTACGTTTAATGATCTCACCAACCGACTCATCACAATTTCACATTATTACTAAAAACTTGTTCTTAATCAATGTTAAACACTTGCGCTCGTTCCAAATTGTGGAAATTGAAGTGAGATGAGTTACGGTGAAAGATGGCCGTCAGTGCCAGATGTAATGAGAGAGGGAGTGTGGACGCTGGCCAAGTCCAAGTTTTTTTTTTAATAACTGGGAAGTAATCTGGGTGATTTGTTCATCCATTCGTCACTTAGCCAGTCAGTCTAACCGACCTTATTTAGTGCTGATGGGGTCCCCACAATTAACCCAGAGGGATATGGCCTCCTCGTGCCATCTCCTCGGATCTTTCCCGCCTCAGCTTTTTTCTCTGCTGTCCTCTTTGCATCATCAGCTGAACTCACCATCAACCATTTAATGTTAGCAATGAATCATGGTCATGATCAAAGTGCTTACAGTTTTTAATTTTTGTTATAGGCCCTTTGATTCGCAGGAACATTACAAGATTCACTGCACTTGCAGAAATCATGGAAAAGTCTGTAGTATGATGCTGCTACCTTTAAAGACATGTTTGCAATATAGATACGATAATGTCTATTTAGTTTTATGTGGTAACAAACATATATGTCTTATGAGGGAATAGTTCACTTCAGTGGAAATTAACTTGCACTCAGGTTTACAAGATAGAAGACAAACAGTGGGAAAACAAAACTGAAGAACAAAACAAACAAAGAAACTAAACAAAAAAATATATTTTCCTAAAATATCTCCTAATATATGCAAAAATGCAACACAATTCCAACAAAGCAATACCTAAAACACTTAAGTGATACAGTAAAAAAACTATAAAATTACTTATGCAAATTAGAGGCGAAATGATTTATCAGCTGGCAAATAAAAATCAGTCAATATGAGCTACAGCCGTTCTCACCTCGCTACACTGGTTTTCTGTCAGCTACAGGATTGATTTCAAAATTCTTCTGTTTGTGTACAAGGCACTAAATGGTCTGACCCTCTCGTACATCTCAGAGCTCCTGTTCTCACAGTCAGGACACAGAGATCTGAGCAGAGACTGTCTCAGAGACTCTCTCCCTCCCATCATCAGATTCTTTTTAAAAGTAACACGTTTTTATTCTTTAGCCTTTCAATGTGCCTACATTGTTGTTTTGTAGTATTATTATTCTTATCACTGGTCGTCTGTTATCACTTTTTTTACAAAGAACTTTGAAACAACAATGTTGTGTTTAAAGTTCTAAATGAATACATTTGAAGTTAAAGTATTCAGTATATGCGCCGATAACAGCAACAACAAATTGAATAATGCAGAAAAGATGTGCGTTAACATTTTACATTTCTGTCTACATTTTGCTCCAAAAAATTTTCCTATTTTCTAAACTCACTCTATTTGGTAGAATTTGTGTAGTCTTTTTATTTGTGGTAATTTGAAATAACTGTAAAATATCAAATCTCAGTTACAGTTCTGTATCATAAGGATTTGATAACCACAGCGTAGCAAATTGATGTCCCCACAAAAAAAAAGTTTGACTAACTGACAAATTTAAATGTATTACATGTAAATGTTTGGTATTTCGACTTTTGATTAATTACTTAAAATGATAGATTATCATTATTGTTCATAATTTGCTATTGATCAACTACTACTGAATATTTGATCAAAAAAATGAATGGGATTGTTTCTGGCTAATGCGAAAAATGAACAACTTGAGAAATCAAGGTTTTTCACCTTACGGATGCTACAATCATCGTGTTTGTTGATTTTTAACAATGTGGTTTAATACAAACATGCATATTAAAGACGTAGATACCTCAGCTCAGACTTCACGATCCTTCAGTATGAACGTTATTTTGTCTGTCCCCTGTAGATTTTCAATCAGTCTCCAGTCAATCCAATTTTTCTCCTGTTACAGATATGATTGATTTCTACTAAACTACTAAACAGAGCACTAATTAAAAGACCCCTCACACAGAGAGACACTGTGTGAATCTGCCGCCCACTCTCTTCCCTTTGAATCCAGAGAAAACATTCGAAGGCTCTTGTCTTGTTCAAGGTGTTGAGTAAACGTGTAATGACAGTATTGAAATAACCTTTCACCCCAACTTATTCCCACCCGAGGTTTGGAATGCCCAATGCAAACATACAATCATACCATTCAAAAGTGATGTGTTGTCATAGCAGCATTTAGAACGCTCAGGAACCCCCTGACACGACCGATCATGGAAAACAATGTAAATGGCGACAGAGAAAAAGGCCTGGCGATGCTTAATGTGCAGCGAGGCCACATAATGGGGATAAATGAGTGTTTTCTTAGTCAAATGACCTGGGGAGTTGTGATGTGAATGGCGGGTGCTCTTCAGGCGCTGATGGATGGAGGGTGAGGACGAGGGTGAGCAGGGCTGCGGAGGTGTCATGGGGGGGAGGATTATCATGGCTGTGGATTTTAAAAGGGTGTCGGCACCTTTGGGTTGATCTCACCTCTTCTCCGCCCTCTCTTTCCCTCGTCTCCTCTCCATCCTCCTGTCGTTGGCCGGCTGCTGACTGACTGAGCGAGCGAGGAGATGAGACATGGGTTTATCACGCTGTGTGTGGCCTTGGGGTTTTTTCTTTTTCATCATAAGATGGCTGATGCGCTTGTGTTGCCATCTAAAGCTGTTGTTTTACAGTCTGGCAATTTTTCTCTTTTATGACGGTGACCTACTTGAGAGCAACAGCTACACCCTCTCACCTCCATTTATCTTTTCACAGGGTATGTTTTTGTATGTGTTTTTTCATTCAAAGTAGATAAAGGGAGCGATTGCTAAAGACAGGATTGCATCATATGACTGGCTTCGGGTTGTATGTTATTTGACTGGTGTATATTTCTAAATCGTGTCCAGAGCTTGTTTTATCGATTATTATTTTTCTCCCCCTCAAAAAAGACTAATGAGCCCAGAGAATTCCACTAGAAAGGTTAATACAATATTGAAATGTCAGGAGATTAATGATATTGTTCTTTCTTCCTATAGTCCTGTAGGGGAGGGTGACAAATGTCTTGCCCTTTTCACTCCGTTCCTCCCTATTTGTGATCTTTTTCCTCTCCCCTTCTCATTCTCTTTGTCTCTGCGTCTGTTTCTCTTTAACTCACCATCTCCCATATTTTTTCCTCCCTCCCTTTGTCTCTTCCTCGTTCTCATCCGCTGACCATGGTCTCCAGATGCCAAGGACTTATCCCTGTGACTGTGTGAAAACGCTGCAGCTATATATACGCAGTGACACAACACAGGAGACGGGCTGTGCTCGACACTGTGTGCGGTTGTCAGCAAATGAATAGCGTTGATCCATCTTCATTATGATGCGATGAGATTTCAACACGGGGAGTTTGTCTTCTGTCAAGAGCAGAAACCCCTCCTCATGCACTGGACCATCAAACAGTATATTGTCACTTTTCGGCTTCAAACACAGAAATCCTCAGCTGGTCAATGTGGTGCAGATGTTAACCGCTCTTATGTGTTCAGCGTTTTTGCCGTGCACATCTTGACTCCTCCTATGCTCCTGCAAAAGACTGGCATGGGGTCCAAGTTTTAATCAACTCTGCATAATTGGAGTGATTCCCTGTCTTGCTGTATATTTCAACCCATCTGTATAATTACAGTGAATTAAAGTCTTTGTCAGAAGGAATGGGGAGGGAGCAGCCTCACACAGACCCTCCCCTGCCAGTCCCCCATCCGCCACCAGCCCCCTTCACACTGTAGCTCACACAATTACACACCATCTTGAGAGAAAGAGGAAATTACCTCTTTTGTCATCTCATTTTTTCACTGGTTGGGGGCCAAACATGAGCAGGAGCGTCAACAATAATTAGTGCATCACGACAACCTGTGTGCAAAATATCATCTATATCTATTTCAATAGCAGAGATTAAGCGGTGCACATTTACGCAGCATCACTGTGGTCTTTGTGGTGTTTGCAGCTTCAGGACGAACAGCAGGGAACTGCGATCTTCCTCCTGGCTTTCGGGGCTTCTGGCCAAGCCATGCCTCAGTGCAGTAATTGCATCGATGAGAAGAAAAGCAGTAGCTTGCAGGCGAGCATGGGTCATCATTACTCTGCGTGACGCTACCAGCCCTCTGGTAGGCCATTACTGCAGCCATTCAATAGCTGACGCTGTTCTGTGATAGAGGCCAAACGTTAGCCCTCCCAGGGTCATGTGATCACATCCTGCCTGCAGGTTAAAGGTTCAGGCAATTACAGGGACGCCAATTTATCTTCTGTCTGTTGTAGGTGAAGATCCTCTGAAGGGATCAAATAAGATCTCACACAAGGAGAAGAAATGGAGACGCAACCATTGTGTCTTTCTTCTACTCAATGTTCTTGGCATTGCTCTTTTGATACTGTCACTGGCGTCCCGGTCATAGTTTGATCCCTGGCCTACGTCTCATTTCCTCACGTCTTCCTTCCTGCAGCAGACGACTGCTATCTCTCCCTCTATGTATGCCAGACATCTGCAGAGTACGGCCAAATCCTTGCAACGATCCCACAGGGGGAACAGTCCTCCAATAACTCTGACCTCCATCCAGGAAGTCCTGCATTATCCATGAAGCTACTTTGCCAAGTCATAAGGTTTCATTCATTTTATCAGACCTGCCAGAACCTTTGAATAATTGCTCTTCTACAGTGTGGCTCTTTCCTTTATTGTTCTGAATTGAGGCCAGTCACCGTTCAGCTCTAATGCAGCCTTTATTATGCAATTCACAGGGGATGAGCTCTTTAAGTAAAGTATAGCGGCACTAAAAACAACAGTCATTTTGAATCTGATAATGATGGCACTACTTGATTTAATACCTGTTTGTTGCTGACTGTTCTGTAGATTGACTCCACAGCAGAAAGCTATTTACTTTACTTTGTCCATAATTGAATCTAAAACGTCTCTGTCTTCATTTATTGTCCCGCTGGTCGTCTGTTCTAAAACAGTTGTCTCGCAATCTCATTCAACACTGACCTTGGCCCTCTCCCAATTTTCACCTCACTACCTCCCTCCCTTTTGACCCTCGCTCGGTCCTCCCCTCCTTTTCATCTCTCCATCATTGTCAATCCACCGCTAACTTCCCGGCAATTGCAGCTTTTCCTCACACAATGTTTCCGACAGCCAATTTATACAGTGGCAGGGCGCATCTATCTCCTGGAAGGCTGAGGAGTACATCCGTCTCTATAGCAGTTTCCTGACTCGCTCAGTCTTTATCTGCACATTACTGTCTCTGGAAAGTTTGATTTGAGTTGTGCAGGTGTGAACTCAGCTGCATAAAATAATACACACTTAACTTTCTAGTGCTTAAACTTGCATGCTGTATCAGTCTGTTTTTTTGATTCTAAGGACGGGTTATAATCGGAAAAATATAGGGGAATGAATGGAACTGGAAGTAAAAATGTCAAAAGATTTAATAAATCCATCAAATGTACTTTTAAATTACCTAATTTAAGTCACTTTCCAAGAACTCTAGTTAGTGTTTCTCATATATGAGGGATTTGAGGATTTTCTCTGTGTGAGGATGAAACAAACCAATTCCAAAATGTCCCATTGGTTCTGGAAATTCTCTTATTTGTGCGAGATCATGGACATAATGCTCAGTCAGTAATTTAAAATTCTGAAAACTTTTAACGTGCTCATCATAATTCTTTAACTTTGATCCAATAAACCTCCCATCAAGTCTCCTGTGTCGCAGTCTCAGCTTCTGTAGGTTGGACCCGTCCCTCAGCTTGACTCAGCGTTAAGAGCAAAGCCCCCGATGGATGTGACTCCGAGTTCACATGCATTAACGTTCCACTCGACGCCACTGGTTCTCTCCTCAGTCACACCACAATCAGCCCTGACGTCCTCACCACTTGTGTCCTCTGCGAGTCCAGGCATGAGATGTGTGCAGCCAGCCAGGAAGAAGCGAGGCAATAAAGAGCAAAACAAGCTGTAAGTGCAGTTTATGGAGTAATGGTGCTTTTTAAAACTCTCTTTGTAGATTCACACAACTCTTTACAACACTATATTGTATTTGATAACCTCATATTCGGTCTTTTCCTTCTTATATCCTCTTAATCAGTCATGTAATGAACTACGCTGGTACTGCTGTTAAGATTAATTAAACCCAATTACACACTACATCCATGCTACAGCTTTATCTGATTATGAAACCAAAAGAAAGATCACAAACTCATCACATTTTACATAAGCAGCTCCTCCACTTCTCAGCGTAGCGTAATCTGATTGAGGACACAGAGACAAAGTAAATTAGTGCAAATATTTATTTTGGGTAAGAGGACAAATCATGTGCTACATACTTTGTCACAAGTTGCGCTTTTCCAATTTGTGTTTGTAATTAGGGTGTGCAGCACCCAGACATCCAGCAGATAATCTGGCCTTTCTGTATTAGAGGGGAAGTGGACCGTGAAAGTAATTGGTGAGTGTAGCACAAATTGGATCTAAGCGTGATGCGGTTTTTATTCCTCTGAGGCAATATTTGTGAAACGATTAGAACAATGCTGCTCCTGCACATTTTCAAAAAGGCTTTATTACATATGTGTAGTGTTTATGATCAAATGTTGACAGGTTCAGTAATCAACCTGAAGGTGGGAGGAAGAACTTAACATCAGCACGAGGAAATAAGAAACTGAAGTTTACAGCTGAGGCTCAGGCTGCTTTAAATGGAGGGTAAATAAATAATGAAAGTAAACTCCTAATGGTTTTCATCATTCAACTGTTTCAAAACTGTTCCAATTAGGATTCCTATTAGATGCCTTGGAAATAAACTGCCAAATCAACCACAAAAAATATGGATTGAAGAGTTGTTTTGTGAAAAAAAAATCCCACAGAGAGGCATTAACTTCTGCCCCTGCTGGGACAACTGTAGCGTGTTTTACCCAAAGTTGTGTGAGACACATACAAATAAGATCATTAGAAACAAATTCATTAGCAAGCAACACCACTTGGTAATGAGATCTTGAGCTTGAGCGCGTAGCCACTGGGGGTTCAGTAAGCCTGCCAGAATCATACTGGTGTGACACCAGCATCAAAAGCAAAGAGATGGGATATATCTGCAGTCTGCAGACGCTTTCAGCTGATAAATGGGGTTTTATCACTTTGGCAGAATCCTGACCAATATGCCTGGCTGAATACTGAACAGGACTATTGTGTGGATGGGGAGGAAGCACTTTTCGTCTGTGGACAGGGAGGTCTGGGAGAGCTGATCTCATTTGAAGCATGTAGGTATTGTGGCGACACAGATGGATATAAGCTCCCTCATAGAGATAAAGCAGAGGAGGGGTCGCAGGAATACGCTGCAGGTTTAGACCAACAAGTTTCAGGTAATAAGAAGTAGGGCTGCTTGATTTTGGCAAAAAAATCATAATCACAATTATTTAACATCACTACTCATTGATTATGGAAACATCACAAATTTAGGCAAGAGAGGCTGGATTATATAATGGGATAATAATCGGTTTGTGATGATTACTTTGTTTTCATAATCGTTAGAAGCCGTAATTGAGATTCAATTAATTGCCCAGGGACTATACAATAAGCTGGATGTGCTATCTGTAATATATTACAATCTTTTAAAGCTAGGGTTGGAAATCCTGGAAAAGTTAGCAAGTGCAAACTACCTTCAGAAACTATGTGTTAAAGTAAGTACTTAAGGTCAGAGGATCTTTGTTGCCAGGTTACAATGATAAAAATACTATGTTAAGCTATCTATTTCAAAATTAAGGATAATGTTTTGACTTTTATTTGCCAAAACGTCAAAAAATTACTTTCAATCTCAATTTGTACCCAAACATGTACAAGAAGTCTCAATCTCAGTTATATTAATCGGATGGAAAACAAAAAGTAAGGATTGTATTCTTTATGAAGTTAAAAGTTGTGACTGTTGTGTTAAGGACTTAGTGGACAACTTTGTGTTGCTGATGTTTCAGTTGGGCTCCAGTTTCCCACCTTTTCTCCATCTAATTGTCGGGTTCCCTCCCAGTTTGCACTGCGCGCCTGTGGCATTAAACCCCCATCGATTACCTGCTGCAGTCTGTTTCATGGTGAGCATGAAGGAACATGTCAACACCTCAAGACACCACTCTGCACACACATGAAAGCCTGGCCATCCACACAGAGGAAAACCCCTGACAGCATAAATTACTGGGTGGAAAAAGGTGAAGGCATGTGCATGTATCAAGCCTTGTCTGCTGTCAGAGGCTGGAGACAGGGAAACAAAGGGAGGCATGGGAGCTGAGAGACGAGAGGGAAGAAGAAGGCAGGATGTGAGGTGAACATCGCAGAGGAGGAGAGAACAGGACATTAGAGAAGCTGGTCAGTAAACAGGCAGAGCAATCCTCTGGTGTCTTCCAGGGGACTGTCAGCTCCCATGAGAACAACAAGGTTTATAAGGAAGCAGAAATAGCCTTCAGTTTCCAGCGGGGGGAAGACACACAACTGCACTGTGCTTATTACGTAGTTTGAGGAAGAGGAGCTATGGAGCTGCGTGATGAGGGACACATCTGGGTGCCTCTGCCATTGTTCGGCACAGTTGAGAATCATTTATCACAATGGGAGCACCTGGTGTTCACAGGAAGCTTCAGCAGAGCAGGAGCTGGTTCACCACGAGCCGAACGCCGCCGCCAACAAAGAGGGTGAAAATAGCAACATCTTTGTGCACGTCTACCCCCTGTTCCCCTTCACATCCACCCATCTCCGCCTCGCCCTCCCCTTTCTCTGCTACTTTTAACGTGCCTCCATCTCCTCATGTTAATTTGCTGCTTCAGTGACACACATCATTGGGGGAGTCATTTCTAATAACCCCACCAGCCCCCATACGAGTGCCTGTGAGTCATGCACTGAGATGTCATTCAAATTATTAAGCATAATGGCGACAATGATGCATTTCCAAAGCCTTGCTTCCTTCCTGACATGACTGCAGTTAGCTCAACACCAATCCTTCGACGTCCTCCCGCCCCCTTGCCTCGGCGCAGATGAACCCCCCGTGTCCCCATCTCATCTTTTTGAGAAAGAGCACGTACCGAGCTGCTGGGATGAATCATTTCATTTCCCCGAGCGTTTTGCCACAAGAAAAATCTTTTTCTTTCTGAAGCATCACAGCATGTCACAGCCTCCTCAGCGTCGTCGTCCTGTCACACGTCATGATGCAGGGCTTCTCTTCTGAAAGAGGGTGAGGGTGGGTGTCGTTTCCTTCGTCTCCCTGACCTGAGTCAAAGTCGCAGTAATTATTCATTCATGCAGGGCCGTCGAGGATGATGTGTGGATGACATTTTCCCTCAGCTGCTTTGTTGTCGCAGATCCAAGGTAGAGAGGATTGTGGGAGCCCAACATCTGATGGTTTTTTTCTCCCACAGCCTCAGCTTGATACAACTCATCTCGGCAGCTAAGAAAATAACCGAACAGAGCCACAGGGATTCTCCTTCTCTCGTTTACAGACTTTCTGGTGTAGGCAACACATGCAAGGCAGATGGCAAGTAGAAAACATACCCAGACAATAACGTTTAATATTATCTTGGTCGTGTTTTTGCATTGGAGATGTAACAGGTTACTGTGGCGCTATTTTGCTGGAAAATACACACAACGTTCCGTAATTTTCTGAGAGCCAGTATTTCCGCAGTCATCAGGAACAGTTTTTCTTTCGTCCGTGTGTGTTTTGTAATTTCTCAAACATGGCCTCCACTGCTTGGGTGATGCCACAGTGTTGTGGGTTTAAAAAAGCACAAAGCAGATGCCTTGGTAATGAAGACAATTAAACTAGCAGCTGCACCATCTGCTATTGACCGTGACCGAAGTAATGAGTGGAAAAAAGAGTGGTAAAGGAATTCTGAGAGTGGAGCAGCGTGCAGGTACATCTTCATCCTCGTCACCAGATAACTGCAGAGCCACAACAGCTACGACACATCAAATAAAAACGTGTACGACAAGGCTATTTTTTAAGATATTACTCAATAAATCATGAGACCTGAAACATTTTATAGATGCAGTATAATACGACATATTCCTTTAACATATGCGTTACCCCCCCCCTCAGTCTCCTTTCCATTTCCAGCATGTGTGGCCCGAGCTGGAGAAGATAGATGTTGGGGCAGCGTATGAACCCCAACACCTTTCTCGACTGGAAGAGATTAACTGATCATGCCTCAGTGAGCGCTGACGTTCAGGCTTAGAGGCCAAAAAATGTCTCTCCTTGCTGCGAACATAACTTCTTAGGAACATGCAGCAGATGAATAATGATAATAAACTTTATTCATGCAGCACTTTTCAAAATTAAGTTATGGAGTGCTTAACATGTATGAACAAGGATGAGGACATTTCAAGACTAAGGAAAATAAATGATACAGAAAATATGATGGTACAGATCCAAAAGTAAAAACCAAAACAATAGATAAGAAACACAGAGGAAAGGAAAAGGAAGAAAGCCCCCAACTATAGGAAACAATAAATGACAATAACACAGATGAAAAATCCAATGGCAATGCAACATTATGCAAGAATTAATTAAAGGCTCTTTTGAAACGATAAGTTTTAAGAAGTGATTTAAAGGATGTCACTGATTCTATAAGTCCAGATCCTCGGTCAGTGAGTTCCAGAGCTGAGGAGCCCTGACTGTGAAAGACCTTTATTCTTTGGTCGCGATGTAGGAACAGGCAGCAAAGAAAAGAGAAACCAAAGATCATCTTCACCAGAGAACCAAGGAAGTCTGTTTTTAATGCTGCAGAAGAAGGATCGTGAAATGTATAAATTGCAAAGCATTGCGGAAGTCCAATCAATATGAGCCACAGAAATATTGCTATAGGTGTGTGTATATGTTTGCAGATATTAATTCTATTATTAACAGATTAACCAATGAAGAAAACATGTTCTTTTTACAGTTCTTCATAATGCAGCTGATGGTTAAACTGTAAAACTTTAGGTCAGAATTATTTATTTATTTATTTGGTAACATTTCATCATTGAATCATCACCATTTTTGTAAATGATCCACTTTGCGATATCTTGGTAAAATATATTTTTTAGTCCTCAATAACGATATCAGCCCCCAAAAAATCTGTCAGACTTTAACAATAAGTCTATGATGAATGAGCAATTTTACATAGAATGCACATCTACTAAATTGTTCAGTAATGTGTGCAGCCCACTCTGAAAAATCTGACTAAAGACTAAATTATGCTTTTCATTCTGAAATCCAAAGTTAACTGTAGAAAAATACAGCTCTAAAGTGGCATCCAATGAAAACTATTGTGTCGCAGCCTTGCAACTTTCAAAGTCCTTGGCAAAGACTTGTATCTGCAAAACCAATGCTCGTCACATGTGCTGAAGTGCTACTGCATGAAAAACATGAGCACACTTCCATAAAAGTTAGACATGTGTCTGTGTGTCAGGAAAGGATAGTTTTACATATTTTCTCCCCACTTCATACAACCAGAGACAAAACCAGGCCATGGCAAAACTGCTTCTTTATTCCTCCGTGTGGTTTTCACGGCCAAGCGTAGGATTTATAAATGCCTTGTTTTGATGGACAAGATTTAAAGGAAGAAGGACATGTGTAGTTTGGACTCACGGTCAGAGAAAACATTTCTCTACTCTTTGATTTTCTCCTATAAACCATGGTACATGTGCAGTAAAACCATATGTCCTATAAAATAAGATGATTTACAGGAC